TTCTAACACCGTAATACCTGCCACCAATGTCACTACATTCCACATGAGACATTTGGCGACTAAATAAGTCATGTTTGATGTTAAACAACTCATCCCAATTCGTGTAGTATCGCCGACCGCGACGCACCCTCGTGGATGCGTATCGCATGCAACATGCCAATAATAAGCGAGCTCGGACTTGATTGGTTAGAGTGAAAGTACGTATAAGAGTGGTGCCAGTTTTTGAGTTTAGTCGACAGACGCAGGAGAAAGTCGAGATATGGCGCTTGAGAAGCTTTATGTGGTAAAATGAGGTGGTCCACCGGTAGGGAGGTGATCAGACGACGAACATGACGTGGGCATTAAAGCTCACTCATTTGCAAAACGGCTCTGTGGTTCGGTGTAGTCATCCCTTCCAATCATCTCATCTACCGATTGGAAGTACGCTGCCAGTGGTGACGAAGTGGTAGATTTTGAGTTAAACGAGATGAATTTGGGGCCATTCATCGCCATTAAGACGTAACAAGTGACACGGCTTTGGTATTTGTTTGCTGTACCGTTGCAGAGCATGGATTCTACTTGTGGAATGGCAGAGTAACAGCTTCATTAATCATCCTTTGCATTAGGCTCAACGATTTGGCCAACGGCTTGCAGTTATTACTCTGAGTTATCGCACCTATTCCTGCCTTGTGTGAGTATGTGCGAGCTTAGTGTGGCTGGAATCTAGGCTAACTTGTTGGTGGGTTGCCTTTGCTCCTCAATGGACGGGGATTTTCTACAAGGGCTACAAACAGGTTGCAGGGAAGCTTAATGCACTCATTCTTTCTTAGAAGATACTTTTGAAATTGTTCACGTAAGGAAAAGTTTAAACGACAGCTTAAGTGCCATTTTCTATACGGACAGGGACATCGTCCATAGATGCGTTTACTGATTTTGACTTACGATGCACTACCTCGGTTTGTTAACCGGGCCTAACTCCATTGGCCCTACTACAGCATTGAGTCATCAGCCAAGTCGACAACCTTTTGATGCTACTTTACCCATAACTCGCCATTGCGTGTGCCACATGACCTAATCATTCGCGAAATTTTGAGTGACAATAACATGAAGCATATGCTATTTGTCAGTATAACCAAGCGCCTTTTATGCACAAACTATCACCTGCCTACATAAATGACAAAGTCATTTTTCGATCCTTCCTCCTGTACCTTTATCTGTCCAGCTTCTTGCACTTAATGGTCTTCAGCCGCCATAATTTGCTCCGTACAAAGTGCGGAAGGAGGACGAGATGGAGATAGATAAGTGCTCAAAACGATCATATTAGAATAGAATTTTGTGATACTTTTTAAGGAATAATAACAGCAGCTAGTGAAATGGATGTATTTACATTGCCGCTTTTTGGTACTGATGATTTCGGACTTAAATGGCTATCATTTATGCTTCCTTACCTAAGTAGCTCCGCTATGCATATGCTGCACTTCTCCCACAAAATCATTTCATTACCCAAGATGAGGCGTTTATTTACCAAGAGCAGGCGAATCTCGAAAATGCAACAAGTGGAAGAATCACCAATGTTTTTAAACTGCGCCCTGTCCTGGGCAGCGTGCCATTTTTTACAACCCAGCGTATGGATACGTGCTCTGAAAAGAGGGCTTGCAAAATTCAACGTCAACGGGATTTGTGAGGTAAAAATGCGTGCCCACGTAAGCCGCAGAAACCTTTGTGGAGAAGTAATGGACCACCTAATGTAATATAAAGTGACAAGTAGAGCGATGAATGGGCATTATAGATGTCGATGTAATGTGATAGATGACGAATGAAAGTAAGATGCGAAGTTGCATAGCGTTGGCACATTTGCACTAAGCGACTACCGGTTGACTCTGGGTGTAGTAATTTACAGATTATAATACCCAGTGCGTGCGACGTTTAAAACTAGGTGACCAGAACATCGCCTATCATTAAGGATGGATCATTTCAAATCGTTCCAGTAAAAGCAACGAAAAATTATGGCATTATTTTTCACTGTAACCAAAACTGACATCAGAGCTTTGGAGGCCTGAGCTAAGTTTTCAATATAGATGCCAAAGGTAAGCATGCTCTGCTGTGCAGTAACTACCTTTTAGATGTTATCCGAACGTGGAAATTAGTCTATGGGTGTATTAGAGGGTTACATTGAAATGCAGGTTTGCGATTCTCAAAGTCGGCAAATTCATTGATAGGAGCAGAAATCAAGTTTTCACTTCAGCATCGCATGGAAGGCATTCCGGACCACAACATCCCAGCTTATATACGTGTATTTGAAGGATAACATCACTCATGATTGTCCTGGGTGCTTCAATTTCGACTTATTTTAACCAACACCGGCAGGAAAGTCTTTATAATGATGAAGGAAGAATCCTTTTGAGCTCGATTTATCTATTTTAGGCTGATATCTGGATGGCAAGCTTTACTATTGCTGCATTTTAAAAGGTTTTAGAAATAAAATTTGCGGAAAGCTACTATGGTTTTCGAGTTGAGTTATAAAGCAAACTTAATGCACTCCTTACATTCTCCTTATGCATGATTTTCCTAGTAACAATTGTTGACCCTTCCTGGCATAAGACGATCGATGATGCCTACTTCGGTTGTTTAAGGTGAATCATAACCTTCAGATTTGCAACTGTTAAAAAGAGATGCTATAACAGCGCCAAGTGTTTCCCATTTCAACTCATAACGGCCAGCGAACGCACCATGAGCCTACCTGATGCAAGTACAATTAACTAAGACACATAACAACGACACTAAATGCGTCCATGCATACGCCAGTTGTGGTTGTGAATCAACCTTTTTTCTCAAAAATGACTCAAATTCCTGGTTGCAAACATCTACTCCTTGTTACTGATCCTTGCAAAGTCATAGTGTTTGAGAGCAGTGTCGGTAAAATTCAAGCAGTATTTTGCAAGACGTCTTTTATCTCCTGTCTACACTTTACCTCTTTGGCATAGCTTGGCCAAATTAAAATTATCTAGCTAGTTGAAATTCGCCGACTCTTCCTACACGTGTATAATTCGCATGCTTTAGGGGTCAGGCTGAAATCGCATCCGAGGGCTCATGCCTAGAACAGATAAAATGGTTGAAATGCAGTCGACGGAGCAGTAGTGTTCCTCTAGGCAGATTTCGGGAAGGGCAATGATTATTGAATGCTCTCTCTTGCGGTTCCATCCCGACCTGGATTGACTTGGACATGGGTGGAAAATATATAGGACCCCTTAGTATTTCTTAAGTTGGATTATGGGCACCATTGCACACGACGAATTCTCCGATTCAGGAGATGAAGTCATTGCCTCTCTCATCAATTCACAATTTTGAGTTGCGCAGACTCATTGAAGACTCTTTGGCTGTGATAGAACAATCTTGACAAAAGAGCAACTTTGTCCTTTTCACAGGTGCTGGTAAGATAAAGACAGCTCATGCCTTGTAACGTCTTGTATCCCCAGGTAAGTGGAAGGCAGGAAAAATGGAACAGGTACCTGAAAGGCAACTTAAAATGATTGTAGCAGAAGTGGATCTTAAAAGTTTACTTGCTTGAAATATAGGATTCCTATTTCTATCAATAAAATAAAAAAATCTGCACTTATAATGGCAAAATCATATCTCGTAATTCTACATCACATAAGAGCGACGGCTACGATTTGCTAAGGAAAGCAAAAGCACTTCAAAGGTCAATAAAGTTAGTTTTTACCACGATTCTGCTCATTGAGTTGTTTACGTAGACCATTAGTTGTGACTGTTCTAGACAGCCCAATTGATTCCCAGAAGGCAAACCTGTCAGGCAAGGTGAGTATTAATTGGAAACTGATATAATTCGTAACCAGAAAGGGTCTAGATAAAAAAAATAAGTACGATTCAAACCCGATGCTTCTTAGTTGTCGATAACTCCAAATTTTAAAAGTTATCGAGAACAAAACTTGTAAAATACAAAAATTTTGAGGAGCCGACTAAAATATCAGTCTTAGAAAAGGGGAATCGAAGATTTGTTTTAATGTTGCGATTTGTAGCTGATATATTCTCTGCCAACACCGGTGTGAACCGACTACATTTGCCGCGGTCTAGCTGGAGCTGACACTTCTCTGTAGAAAACCTGCCATGCGTCTTGAAATAGGCTAGGTAGAAAAGCAAAAAATAGGCTGTACATTGCATCTTGGGGAAGGTGTAAAAGTAGTATCTCTTGCAGTATTGCGGGAAACCGGCGTAGCCGGGTACGACTGGTCCGTATGTGCGTTTGAAATGATAGACAAGGGCAATTACATTAAAAAACAGGATACCAAAATATGAGGGCTGATAATGAAATTACTATTAAATTAAACCTTTTGCAGCTAAATCAAACTATTCAAATAACACAGTGGGCGCCCAAACTGATAAATGAATATTCAGGACTGCAGAAGTAGATAAAGGAAATAAAACGGAGAACTATACTTACTACATCAACGGCAATCAGCTTCTTCCCATCCAGTCAGTACTGACGATGGCAAGATCCG